GGGCAGGGGCCGGGAGGAGGCCCTTCACAGAAGCCCAGGGCGCAGGCCAGGGCAGGAGCTCTGCTGGGTGCTGAGTCAGCCCAGACACTCGGGACCATGGAAACCTGTACTGTATGCTGTTCGTGCTTCTATAATTATTGCCTTTCAGCCCTGCCTTCACTTACTGAGACCTGCCAAGCTGATACTAAATAATAAGAGCTAACGATGTGGGGTGTTTACCGTGTGTCCGCCAAGCACCTCTAAAAGCATGAACGCATTTAATCTTCACAAACACCCCGAGACGGTACCACAAAGCCCCCCGCTCTGTAGAGAAGGAAACCGAGGCTTGGAGAGAAGATGTGACGGTAGCCTGGCTGGGACACGCTGGGGCTGGGACTTGAGCCAGGCCTGTCTGTGGTGCATCCAAGGCCACCAGCCCCCTCAGAAGTGTGGATGGATTCGGGCCACTGTTCCCATTGAGGTGGACATCGCCCTCTGGGGTTCATGGTGGCAGCAGAATCCAAGAGAGGCCTCAAGGTGGGTGACGGCCACGAAGGCAGAGCCATGCTACCTGTGCCTTTGCCCTTGAGAGGGACACCCAGGCTCCACCATTCCATGAGGAAGGCTGGCCCCTCTCAAGTCCACTGTCCAGCTTCATCTCTGCCCTCAAAATTGTGTTCTTTCTGCGGCTCTTCTCTCAGTCTAGGAAACCACAGGATGCCTTCACCCAGAACAGAGCCCAGCCCATCCTTTCCCAGCCAAGAGCCTGCCACCCACCTTCCCTGCCCCCTCTCCCACATCTTCCAGCCTTCCCTGGGCAGCACCTGCTTACCTGAGCCCCCCTCCTACCCACCTCTCACAGGTTATTACCGGTCACAAACTTTGGAGAGCCCACCAGCCTGGGGACAACAGTGACAGCAGCAAGACCACCCTTCTCCAGCCAGCGAGCCCCCTGGGAAGTGGGGGGACCCTCCTCAGTGTTAGTGTCCTAGGGCTGCCGCAACAAAAGAAACACCAGAAATCAATTCTCTCACATCCTGAAGGCTAGAAGTCTGGATGCAGGTGTCAGCTGGGCCATGCTCTCCCCACGGAGGGGCCCCAGCCA